CTCGCATGGACAACATATGATCCATGTTACTGTCAATTGGACACACTGTGTTACTAATGTTGTTACTGCCAATGTTACTATTTGATGATCATTACAGACAGTAACCAATCGTTCAACAATATTACAAATTCATTGATTTTAACATATCAATTCCACATACAACACAATTTCAACATTCTAAAATTGAAAGATTATGTTACTTGGGAGATTTTTTCACATGTTAATATTTGAGTTACTATTGGACTTACAAATTGAACAGAGTTTCCTTTGTTTACCAAACATTCCATTATAAACAAATTCCCAAACCTACATCAACATATCAATTTAATATCAAGATGTAACATCTCAACCACAATTTTACATGTTTGAATTGTCCATTTAAACCATGTACCAAATTGTAAACAATTACAACTAACTTCTACCCGAGCTTATAATTAGAAAAAGAATTAATAGCTTTACAACATCACAAATTCTGATTTTTTTTGTATTTTTTTTTCAATCTTGATATTGTCTTGTAGTCTTCAACAGTCCATGCATTCCTATGATTTATGAATGTAGTCACCAGATGTATCTGTAGAACGTTAAGTTGTGCTGGTTTTAACTTCTCTTTTATTTCCTGTCCATGAACAGTTCCACCAAATTATATGATGTAAACATAGTAACATCAGGTTAGGAACATTAAATTATTAACTAAATCACAGTAACATCATCTTGAGTAACATCAGACAAACACAATTTTAAAGTCCAGTAACATGACCATTTTGATATCTGTTATTCAGTAACATTATTTTTCATGAGTTGAATAAAATTTGTTCTCTCCCAATTTACATTTAAAATCAAACATCAACCCATGAACTCTTAGTAAACAACATATGGTGCAATAAAAGTAAAAACCAAAAAGGTTTGGATCAGTAAGATATCTTCAGTAACATCTAAAGTGCCCAAACACATCCATACGATGGAAATATGAAATGAATTTGTTAGTTATTACATAGTAACATGACCATTTTAATGTTACTTTGAACCAATGAGTTTCGAATGTATTGAACAAAACAGAAAGCAATCAAAAATGTTCACATGTAACTAAATAAAACATTAATTTAGTAACAGTAACATGAACATTAGCACCCACCATGCCATATTGTGTTCACAGTAACATCGATTGAAAATTTAAAGTAAAAAAAATTCAAAAATTGAAAATTAAAAAAAATTCCTAACAATAACACACTGTCAATGATTGAATTAGAACACTCAACACAAAACAAGAACATTAAAAAAACCAACATTATGAGATACATTTTTTGAAAGTACTCTCACAGTAGCATGAGAGTTTCCACACAAAATATCATCAATAATTTTCGAATGTACTACAAATCCAAAAATAAAATCAAAATCAAAATACTAATCAAGGAATCACAATTTATTAGTAACACGGAATCACACTTATATTGTGAAAAAAAAAATTTGGTTGACAAGTTGAATGATATACATTTGTAAATTTTGTTGTCAAACCCTAAAACATACATCAAATAACATGTAAAACCACATACCTTTCAGATTTTTAAGAATCCCAATGTTAGTGAAGATGTTTTGAATGCCGAAAAATCTCTCTTATGTAACTTCGACAATGGAACTTGAAGAGTAAAATTATTTTTGCTCTTATTTTTTATAATCTCTTTGAATTTTGAATTGAGGCAGTATGGGTAAGGACGGTTAGGGATTTTCGCAGGAAGGAACACAAAGAGATTTGATGATTTTCTGCCTAGAATTGTAGGATATAATGAATGAGGGAAGTTTCGATTTTTGAGTGCCGAGAATTGAGGGTTCTCCGTCTCCCTTAGAAACGGCTTCTCTGACGCCGTTTGATATTTGACAAAAAATAAGGGTTTAATAATAATCTTGACAAAAAATAAACTTATAATCAAATAAATTTTCTTGCAAGACTTATCTTCAAACAACTGCATATAGGACACTCACCTTCAATTTTCACTTCTAATTCTTCTAGGTGCAGTGTCTTGGGTCTGAATCCTCTTTCCGACGTAGATATGAACATCTAGATGTCACTTTCTTTGTCTACCAGAATTTGTAATTGTGATTTAATGTGGGAAGGACGGATATCAATTTAAATATAATACAAAACTAATACCACGAAATGATAAATTTTTAAAAAATAGGATGCGGATATTATTAGGATATGTTTATAATAAAATATATTTTATATTTTATTATTATTTAACAAATTAAAATTTATAATTCTAAATAATTATTTAACAATAATAAGTAAAATTAGTAATTTTTATATTAAAAATATGTAATATCGTCTCATCAAGATATATTCATAACTTAACATGACCAATTAAAAGAATTAAAACCAACATTTAACTAGATGGTTTGTTAATAAATATTTGTTTTTAATATTATAGTGTAACTAACTCAATTTTTTGTACTCTTTTAACATGTATTGTAGATAATACTTAAAAAATACTCGTGTCTTCAAAATAAAATAAAATTTTGTTGATGTTTTGTATTGTATGTGAACTCGAAAGAAGATAGTATAAATCAACATTAAAAATTTTACATCTTGCTCCATGTGCAGAAGTATCCACAAAGTATAATGTGTATCTATATATTTTATTGATTATCGGATACGTATTTGATAAATATCATATCTGATGTGATATTCAATACAGATACGTCGATTTTGACGAAATATCTGTGTTTCATAGGATTTAAATTAACGAAATGATTAAGGTTATAATTTTAATTCTACGTGTTATGAATTTTATGAATATGATGCAACTATGATGTGTGATTTTAGTCTTTATTTCATCAACCGTTACATTGAATACTTACTCTTTGTACACAAAAATTGAAACTAGCAGTAACAAAAGAAGTTGGACTGATAGGTAAAGAGAGAAATTTAGGTGCAAGTAATGGCCTTGAGTCGATACACCTAACATTTAACTAATAAATATCCGATACTATTAGAGAATATATAATTAGTAAGAGTGAACATATTACAATTGTATTTAAAATATAATAAAAAAAAATACATAAATTTTTTTGAAAAGAGTAATCGAACAAATGAGAGAAAAAACATAAAAAGATTTTTTAATCCAGTTGCCCAACTTAGACATGTTTTCCCAGAGTCGACATGGTACGGAACGACACCTCTATTTATTATATTTATAAGTCTTTTTTATTATTGTTGTGATATTCAAAAATTTGGTAAAAATAATTATTATAAAAGTGATAAAAATATCAATAAATATGATAAAAATATTTATAAATATAATAAATATACTTATAAATGTGATAATTTTTTTTGTATTAAAGAAAAAATAGTAAAAATAATTATCACAAACACACACACACAACAGTGATAATAAATTATTCAAAAAATAATAAATTTTTTAATTATAAAATAATTCATAAAAATTATAAAAATAAATATTAAAATGATAAAAATCAAAAGTCCGATACCAAAATTATTAGTTGAGTGCCGTAATCAAGTTCTGTTTTCCAGGGCCACATCTTTTTTACAAAGCAATTATTGAGCAGCACTGTATAGACGGATAGGTTCTCCCCACGTCCAACTCTTCACTCAAATTTGGGCACGTGGCAGCGTATCATTTCATACCCATAGCCCTTATCTGTAATGGTGTTTTCCAGAAGTGCATTATTTGTTGCATTATTAGTGTCCTCTCTCTCCCGCTTTTTCTCTCTCTTCGTCTCCCCCATTGTTCGCCCCCTAAAAGCTGAAGCTGAGCAACTAGAGGGAAGAAAATATTGTGGAGGAAACCACCTTCCTCGTCTGTAAACTCCACGGCTAAGTCGACTGTGATTTCTTGTGAACAAAATTGAGGCTTCGAAATGCCCGTTTGAGGGATTAGTGCCGCTGCGGAAGAGAGAAAATAGTACCGGTATTCATCGGTGAGTTTAATCGATTTTATGGTCTTTTGTGAGATTTTTCTTACCAAACTAATTGATTTGATGAAAAAATATGGCCTTTTAGTCGCATTTGTGTTAGAAAGTATATATATTTGTATATATCATTGAATTCGTATCAGATATACAATTTTGTTGTCACAGAGTCGAAAACCTACCTAGCTCCCTCCCGCCACCTCGTGATCTCTTTCCCACCAAGACATACAGATGGAGCTTCAACATTTCAGTCATGAGCATCCATTGATCCTCAAAGAAGTGCAAAAAGAGGGTGAAGGTGACGAATGTTTCTGTTATGCATGCGAGAAATTGATCTTGGACTCTGCATATAATTGTGGAGAGTGTTCTTACTTTCTACACAAAAGTTGTGCAGAACTCCCTCGGGAGGTTGAAAACTCCATACACTCCAAACACCTTCTAACCCTCCATTATGATGATAAGTATATTTGTGATATCTGTAGAGCAAGTGGAAATCGATTCAGCTACTGGTGTCTTCCTTGCGACTTTACTATCTGCATGTCATGTTACCTAGCAGAAGAACGCGTGGTTACAAATGAAGGTCATGAGCACCCTTTAGCCATCATATTTAGGCCAACCTCTTTCTTTTGTGATGTTTGCCGCATGGAAAGTAAAGATAAGTCATATGTATGTTTGACTTGTCAATTCATGGTCCATAAGAGTTGTCTTTCGTTACCTAAAATTATCAAGCGTGGTTATGACCGTCACCCTCTCACTCTCGTCTATCAGTATTCTACGTTAACCAATTTTGAACAGTATTGTGGTATTTGCGGACTCTCCATTTCCACCGTCCACTGGACTTATTGTTGTGCTCCGTGTAGATATTTTTTCCACGTGGAATGTGTAATTACAACTCCAGATACTTTGAGGTGAGTTTATTCATTTTATCTTTTATATTAAAATATTTGTTGTAGCCTATCAAATATTGAAATTTGATATTAATTTAATGGTTACAATAAAATTACATCAATAGATCAACAAATTATGTTAAATTTTTAAAACTAAATAGTATTACTCTTTTCTTAGAGCAATATTATTTTTGGATTTAATCTTCTGATCTATTTCATTACAACTATATATTGGATTGATTAAAATCTCATCAACTATTAGAACTTGATATTAATTCAATGGTTACAATAAAATTACAAGATTAGGCAAACAAATTAGATTAAATTTTTAGGTCTAAATAGCATTACTCATAGTTCCTTGATTTAGGTTAAGGGATTCTTGAATCGTTGGCCTGGAATAGGTATAAATAGAAGAAAATAGATTGATAACTATTATTAGAGATAAATTATGTCCTCGATGGATCATTAATTTTTTCTGGTATATGAAATAGAGGATTTCTCTAAGTTGATTATCAGGAAATCTCGAATGAAAACTTTTGTCTTTATTTCAATAAAGGGAACACGGGTTTTTTTGTTAGAAGAATTTTATTTATCTTTCTTAATGTCATGTTTTGTTTGGAATTTTGTGGTTTCAGATGCGGTGAAAATGAGAATGAAGTTGATAAATCAACCGACCCTAATCTGCTACACTTACCGATGACTAATGGTTCCTTAGAACTGTTTAGACATTTTGCTAAACAAATCAATCTTGAAGATATTGAGAGAGAGGCAGAGCTCATCCATTGGAGTCATGAGCATCCACTAATCCTTTTTGATGTGCAAAAGGACGATGATATCAAAGATGAGATTACGTTATGTGATGGTTGCGTGCAACCAATATCATTTCCATTTTACTGTTGTAGTCAATGCAACTATTTTCTCCATTTAAGTTGTGTCAACTTACCACGGGAATTGCGGCACCCAATTCACCATGAACACCCAATGGTACTTTGTCAGGTTATGAAATTCTACAAGACCTTCTTGTGCGATGCTTGCTGCGTATGGACAAATGGATTTTACTACAACTGTGAAACATGTAAATTCATCCTTGATGTCAAATGTGCTTTCCTACCTACTTCGATTGCACATCAAGCTCACAAGAATCCATTGGTTCAAATGAAAGGTTCAAAACATCTCTGCAATGGAAGTGGTTTCAGCTTCTCTACAAGCGGATTTAAATGTGATGATTGCAGGTTCAAAATATCTCACGACAGTGCTCTACTCCCAGGTACCATCAGGCATAGATTGGACAAACATCCCCTAATCCTGTGTTATCCTCCATTTTTTAAGCATGTTGATGAGTTTCACTGTGAAATATGTGAGAGAGAAATGAATCCCAGCTATTGGCTCTATTATTGTAGTGATTGCGATCAATCGTTTCATCTTTTATGCATTAAAGATTACTATTCAAACGTCAAGTATGGAGGTACCATTGAAGTTAATTGTCATCCACACTCTCTGGCATTTGTACGAAAGGCAAGGAAGAGGTTCTCGTATTGCAGTTGTGGTCATTCTTATGTTAGAGTTATCTTTGTTCATACTGATATTGATATTGAGTGTCCCATATTCGAATGTGGAGAGTGTAATTATACATTGTGCTTAGATTGTATCTGAGTTCTAATGGTTGAGTGGATCATGAAATTGTATTATTGGTTAAGCAATGTTGTCGTCCACCCTTAAAAGAGGATAATGCTTCAACAAAGAAGAGCACAATGAATAATTTGATCTCTCTCCTCGCCCTTCCTCCCTCCCTCTCCCTGTCAGCGCTCTCTAAATGTACAGACAAATAATGTATATAAAATTGAGGTACAGTTTGAATGTAATCATCTTAAAATGGTTGTCATTTTTCTTTTAAAAACAGTTTTAAACAACATCTAACTGATTTTTTTTTTTTTTTTTGAACATGAACATGTAATTGAATGCAGGGCCTATATAATGCTTTCATCATTGCGGATCACTCTGAGATGAATAGCAAATAAATACGGGAAAACACCATTCACTCTAGGCTTATCATGATTTTTCATCTAATTCTACCGTTTATGCTTTGGGATTCAAATTCCCTCTATTATCTCTTCCCTTCAATTCCCCTTAATACAGTGTTGGATGAGTGGCACGTGTAAGATTTGAATTTCAATGAATAACATTTTTTCCTTATGAGAAAATTCCTTAATAATGGTTAACACTCCACCAACAATAAAAATGAGGAAACATCTTATCTATTAAAATTTAAAATCTTACATAATGTTATTCATCTAACATTATATCGAGAAAAATTAAAGATAAGGGATAATAGAGGGAATCTAAATCCTAGGCGTTGAAATTAGCTTTTTCTCGCTTTATGGAAGATTTAGAATATTTGTAATTTATTAAATAAAATCCTAATTCGATTTTCGTCGATTTTTTTAGTTAAACTCTAAACGTCATGTAATTTGATTTCAATTGCTTCTGTCGCAATTTTTCATTCTTAGTTATCTCCATATGATTAGTAGTTTAATTCAACTTTCTAACTGTTTTTAAGTTTTGAGGACTCCTATAAATAATTTTTGTGAAATATCAATATTATTGATTCAGTAATATCATCGCTATTAATTAGGGGCGTTAATTGAGCCGAATTTTGTGAGCTTAAACTGGATCCTGTCAAGCTCGTTTTTCTAAACAAACATAAAAAATTGTTCAATCTCTACTTGTTTAAAAAATGAATCAAGTCTGAGCTCGATCAAAGTCCGAATTGCTCGACTACTTTACATATAAATGAAAACAAATCGAGTTTTGCGAGTTTGAATTTAGCCTTTTTAGACTCGTTTCTTTAAATAAGTCTAAAAAATTATTCAAATTCATCTCGTTTAGAACACGAATTAAGCTCAAGTTGAGTCTTATCCGAATTGAGTACAAATAATTCGTCTCGATTAAAACTCTTGCTTATAAGTGTAGTGTGCACCCCCAATGAGAGAGCGCCAAAACAGAAATTCTGATATAATTTTGATAATATGATATGTGATAGTTATTTATTTTGAATGTACAATAAACGATATGTTAAACCTACAAAAAAATTTCTCCCTTTAAAGGTAATGGGCAGCATAACGGCTTTTGTACCCGGTTATGCCGTTAAAAAAGTCGATTATGGACAATGGCTAGTCACTACAAATTTTTTTTTTTTCAACATGTTTGGATCAGGTTACGCATAATTTGTCTAATCCTCTCTTCTGCACTGTTAAAGACAGGTCATTCACGTTAAGATTAAGATGTTTATGAGGGATAAATCTCTACTAACTTAACCCTAAAAATTTGTCAAAATTTGAACCTAAAACATCTGAATTTACAACTCTTTTTTTGCTACCTCTTGAACTACCGGTTCAACGTACTGTCTTTAATGAATCAGTAACAAAAGAGAGACGTTACAACTTGCAAAAAACAAAAGTATTTGGAGAAAAGAAACGGATTGATTTGTAAATTAAGATCGTACAACATATTAGTGCTTCCTCAAAGACAAATTCTTTTGATATTTTTTTGGAAATTAGTATCGTTTATGAAGAGAAATGACGAAAGGAAAATGAATATTTTGATGAGAATTTTTCCCACAAAGGGAAGTATTGTGCTTAAACTGGAGAAGATCCCTAATACACATGCTTGAAGTTCTGGAGCTTAACCAGAACAAACAGAAAAGCCGAACTGAATTCAAATGGGTGAGAGATTCAAACCACCCAAGGCCTAACTCTAGCACCGTGTAGTAGAGCATTTAACCCGAAATTGCTTGAGAATAGATGAAGTAGCCACTCAAATATACAAAACAATCGCGTATGTGTGCTTTGTTATTGCGTAAACTTTACTACGTCAATAATCCTAATAAATCATAATAGCTGTAAAGAGTAGGCACAGAAAAATAATATGAGTTCATTTGTAATTAAACAAAGAAAGCAAGAAATGTATAGTGGCATTCTACAATAATACTGTTAGACTCCATTGAAATCACTAATGTTATAACATGAGGCTGCAATCCTCCCAACTTTCCTGTTTCTGATGACAATCAAATCAAGTGTTAGAATTTCGAATCTTGACGACTCAAACCCGACCCAAAAACTTCAGCTTAAGAATTCGAATTAGTCGATTCAAACCCAACCCAAAAACTTCGCAGAAGAATTCGGACTATTCGACTCAAACCCGATCCAAAAACTTCAGTTCAAGAATTCGGACTATTCGACTCAAACCTGACTGCTAATTGCTGAAGCTATCACCATGTTTTGCATTCTGTTTAATGATCCTACTTTGCAACACCTAATAATCTCCTATATGTATCGCCATCTACCCTCATTTCTTTTCTGCTTCTGTTGTTGGCTTCGGTTCTGCTGGTGGCGGCGGTGCCGGAACTCCACCGTCAATGCAGCTCCTACACTTCCTTTCTACCCATCCTTCTATGTCATTCTCTCCGGTGCCCCCAAAATGTCGTCCCCCGCATACCCGAGCAATGATCCCTGCAATAACACCAACTATTATGATCACTGCCACCACAACCACCAGTGTCTCGATTGATCGGCGAGTGGAGTGGCTTGGCTCCACCACCACCGGCGGTGGCTCAACTAGTGGTGGTAGCTGATTTTGCAACTTTTGCACCAGTGTCATTGTGAACTACTGATCATATGATCATAAAGTACTTGTATTTCTGGAGTGGAAACTATATTCCTATTTTCTTCTACTGAATCAGACAGTATGAGACCGAAACACAAAACATATGAGAGAGAGAGAGAGAGAGGGTCACAGCCTGAGGAAGAAAAGACTTCAGCAAAATAAAGGGACTATAGTGAAAGATATGCAGATAAAAGCAGTACAAAAACAGACTAGTGAATAGAAAATGAAGGATGGGAAGACAAAAAATGGTACAGATGAATTAGAGAGGGTGAAAAGATAGGATAGATGTAGAACTCATAGAGGGTAGAAACAAATGGGTCTGTCTGAGTTAAACCAGCTATAGAATCAAAGGAAACGGGAGGACAAATGAGGCTGTCGACCAGAGAAAGCTAATGAATTGAATGAACGAGAGAGACTATAGTAAGAATGTCTACATGAAATCTGACCAATATAAATTATGCTATGTATGGAATGATCAATAAATAAATAAATAAATAAATATATATATATATATATATATATGCAATAAAGTTATGTTTACCATTTTTTTATATTCAACAGTTAGGGATGTCCGGCCAGCTTACGTGCACTTCGACTAATTCCCCTTCAGTCCAGTCAAAAATAAGCCATTCACCCCTGTACTAGGGTATTCATAAAAAATAAATTCCTCATGACCTAGATCTAAAAGTTTGTCAAAATTCGAACTGAAAACATCTGAATTTATAAATCATACATATTACCACCTGAACTATCCCTTAGGGTTATGTTTACCAAATTTTCAATCCCAAACAATATAACACAATCACTATCATTGAATATTAATAGAACACTATTACCTAATGGTGAAAAATATATCACATCATTTTGGGATGAGAATTTGGTATGTACAACATTGTGTGTGTGTGTGTGTAAATGGGTAAAACTACATCACCCAAAAAAAAAATTAATACCAAAGTAACAACAAATTAAGAGTCGGAGTTGGAGTTATAGCTTAATGTAACTTAACCTAGAAAAACAATAAATTTTGCTATTGTACCTACTTCGGTATGGAAATCTTACCTTATATGTGAATACATTAAAAGATTTATATACACATATATACGGACATATATATATATGTGTGTGTGTGTGTGTGTGTGACTTTGATTTTTTTTTTTTAGTGTGGGGAGTGGAAAGAGGGTTTGCTGGTTGGGTGGGGGAGTTGCAATGATTTAAAGGTGCAGAAAAACTGGAGTAGGGCTTCCATCTTTGAAAACAATGGCCGTTACTTTTGTAACATTGGATCTTCTTTACGTTATTATTTCTCTTCTGTCTTTTCTTTACTTTATCTGCTTTGGATTTATCTATTCATGCTGGTTTGGTCTTTTGAGGTGCAAAACATAGTTGGAAGGCCAAAAGTCCTTGGCTTCATTAATATTTTTTTGGACAAAGTTGAAAAGTTACCGCTAACATGTCAGTTGTAAGTTTTAAATTGCACTCTTGCTCCCAATTCAAATCATTTTGAGTTCTGTTCCCAATTTTGTCCTTATTGTTGTCACATGTTTATGTTCAATATGTGAGCCCTAGAACCAAATGATTTTCTTTACAAAAATTATCATTTAACCTGTTGTTTAAAAGTTGGGCGTGTTTAGGCCATTTTACATGTGTCTCGACTAATCTCTTCTCCGGTTTGATCAAAGACAGGTCATCCATGTAGAGACTACGATATTCATGACGGATAAATATCTTATAGTCTAGCCTCAAAGTGCCAATGTTCGAAGTTAAAATGTCTGGGTTTACAACTAATTTCTGTTATTACTTGAGTTTATCCCTTGGAGTTTACAACCTCTTTCACAATGTCTCTTCAACTATTATATTTCTCACACAACACCTCCAAAAGGTCAGGGGTGTTGACATTTTTTTGTATAAGATCATATATATGACAAATGTTTGATTTTTTAGCAAAGGAAAACCCATTCAAGTAATTGAGGGTCAATGTTAGAACCTCAAAGGGTTGAGAAATCAGATTGAGACCAGGGTCATAGTTGAAGCAGTCAAATATATTTTTCCGGTTTGAAACTTTCTCAGATGGCCATGTGATTTCCAGATATATTGTCTTTGTAACAGGCTGTAACAGGCTGGCTCTTTTTGTAACTTTTGTCATAAACTTTTGACAGATCAAAATCAACTGAATGAGTAAATTGACTAGGAAGATTTTCTATTGTGACACTTCAATGAAGACCTGACCAGCCCTTCCTGAATACCATGTGCTCAATACAAGCAAGTAGTAGAATAGGATTGGAAAGGTAATAGTATGCTCGTGCCTCCATATCACATGGAAATCCATCTGCATTTGTCTGTAAAGCAAGGGTCAGGAAGTTCCTCCAACTGCATGATTTATGTTCGAGTTTTGTCTTCATGCTGTTCCTTCAGGAAACATCAGCGGGGAAATGATTTTTTTTCAGTTTACCTGGTAAGTAAGGGCAGATACAAGATTTTTATCCTAATTTTTAAAGATAAGTTGATCCGTACAATCCTGACTATTAAAAAAAAAAATACCAAAGAACGAGCCTTCACAGTCTCATACTATTTGTGACTAATAGTAGTATAATAAGTAATTACAGCAATTTTTCAGACCTTTTTATAGGGTGTCTCTTTCGAATCATGTTGAGACATAGGGTAAAAGGTAATATTCGGGATGACTTAAAAAAATATTTAAATGGTATTTTATACTTGTGTTCGTTGAACTATACCCCTCATTTTGTATTATATCTATCTCTCTCTCGCACTGCACCTTAAACATGGCCAAAATAAACTTTCTGAGCATTAGGAGAAGTGGTATTTTCTCTCTTTAGCTGTGCGAGATTCTATTTTTGTGCTAATTTTTTCGTAAAAATT